TAAAGTTTGTTTTTTAAGTCATTGAGATTTTAGGATTGTTTGTTGTGGCAGCCATAACCTAAACCATCCTGACTGATATAAAAATTGGCTCCTAGATATTGGGTACTATAATAACAACAATAAGCATAACAACAATAAAGTTAAACAGTCATTTAGAGGGCGATAACTAAGAACATTGCTATCAGAAGCTGAAGGGATGATGCTCTATTTGGTGAACATATCATCTGTGACAATGTACAAGGCAGATCACAAACCTGATGAACTAAAACAAAGGATTGTAAAACAGAAAGTGAGTAGTGTGTGTTGGTGGTGGTTGTATGCATTCTGAAAGTTACTATAAACTATTCAAAGATGAGCTAAGAAAAATTTGCAATCAGGAATGAAATAGAATAGGGAAAATTTATAAATTCAGGGATTTGCATGGTTAGAAGAGGCAAATGTTTCCCAATCCCAACTAGTAAAACATAAAATCAAGAAATGCTTTTAGTAAAAAAGGACCTTGAAGAAACTAAGCCTTGAAGTAAGGATCAAGTCACAAGGTATGAACCTTGTGATATTTATGACCTTACCCAGCATACGCTTTCCTGGACAAAATGGCTCTGGGAAAAAGGAAAGGTATAACTCTCCTGTGTAACTCTCCCACCAACATCCAATAAGCCCAAAGTGCTCAAAATCAAGTGAAGAGCAAAAGAGTGAGAAAGCAAAAGAGAGAGAGGGGAGTCAACAGGCAGGAGAGCAGGAAAGCAAAGAGATATGGCAAACCAAAGAAGTATGTCTGGAAAAGGTCTTTGTGGCTATTGGCACATGGAAATCTTGTATCAGTTAGATACGAAGCCTGCCTACACATATTCAAGACTTAATGTCACTCTGCATCTCCCCAACTTTTAAAAGCTTATTTAAAAGCATATTTTCCAATGCCTGCTTTAGCTGTGGAAAAGGAAGACTCTCCAAGGGCAAATCCAGGATCACGGAAAACAGTGGACAGGGCAGCTTGGTGCTGTGACTGGATGGGTCAAGGTTGTCTACCTTGAAGAAAGAATGAGGGAATTCCACCAGGGGAAGGAGAGTAAACCAAACATTTGGTGAACAGAAAGGGAGACAGAGTCTTTAGTGTTATTCCCCAAATATTCCTGGACAGCCCTTTAAGACACCAGGTTGGATTACAGTGATCTAAAGTTAGGTATCGCCATGTTATTGCTTTTGCTAATGGTGGATGAGCAGAAGTGATGTGTGCTATTTCCAGGTGGATGCTCTGACAGCCATGATGTTTGGAGTTCCTTCCCCACAGTCAAGATAGCTGTGAAAAGGGTTATCAAGACGAAGCCTCCTTCAGCCTGAGCTATTGAGTAGCTCCAGTGAGCAGAGCTCCTGTGCCAACCTACAACGGGCATGTAGCAGGAATGATACACTTTCACTGAAAAAGCCACTGATATGTTAGGGTTGTTTGTTAGAGCAGCATAACATTACCTTTTCTGATAGACCTGGGAGTGAGAGATGAGGCTGGAGAGAGAAGGAATTAGATTGTGAAAAGCACCTTCTTCCAGTCATAGGAATCAGAACTCTCCGGGTTATAAGGAAAAGCCAATGAAGGTTTCCAAGCAGGGGCGTTAACATGAACAGATTTGTTATTTTTTGGATGAAATATGCTATTTCTCAGCATAAGGAGAAGATCAGCCTACTAAACCACATGAGGCAGAGAGGAACATACAGAACCTTAGGCAAAAGATATATATTTACACAAAGCCCTAAGTCTTGAAATTTCTAAATACAGGAGCTCTGAACAGAGGTACAATCAGAGGATAAAGAAAAAAAATTTCTTCTGTGCCACAAGCGCTATTTCCTCTGCAGATAACTAATACTTCACAAGAAAGTTTACCAGAGTAGAGAAAATACAAGGGAATGTAACACAGACCTGAGGTCAATTTCCAGCTGCCTGTGTGACCTGAACAAGGATACTTAACCTCTCTGGGCCTATTTCCTCACATGTCAAATCCGGATAAAAATATATGTCTCTCAAGACGGCTGTGGGGAGAAAACAGCATATTTAAATTGCTTAGGAGAATGCCTGGCAGATAAGTGTTTAATACATGAAACTTACTTTTATTACTGTTATAAAAAAATTTAGAACAACAGCTCCCTTATTACAACAGAAAATGATTCAGAGCAACAGACAGAAGGAGAATGTTCTCCCCTTGAGGGAAGTAACTGGATCTTGCTATCACTGTATACCTACCCCACCCCCTCCCCAGTTCAGTGCCTGGCTCACAGTAGGCTTTCAGTTACCCTCTGCAGATCACTGAAAGCTAGGTGAGTGCCCGGAGCGAAGAAAAGTTGGCAGGTTTCCCACTGATACCAGCTGCTGTTGGTTTCTGAACACTCAAAGCCGCAAATACCTTAGGGCTGGGGGCAATGAACCCAAGGCTGAATTCCAAGTTCAGAAGCAGTGAAGTCCGAATTTAGAACCTAAGAACTTTAAACTGCTGCAGGTCCAACTTCAAGCCCCAGTTCTAGACAGAGGCCTGGGAAAGAGCTGACTTCTAACCCTGTTCCCCCCTCCTCCTCCCCCTGATGCTTCTCACAGGAAAGTACACCTGGTCCTGCCAAATCGCACTCTTATATCCTGGCATTCCGTTTAGACTTCTGTGAGGATGGAAACTGCGAGGCAGGGGAGGGAAGCGGGCTGTTTGGCCACCACCTCCCTAGTCCTGTAGGCGACCCTGTCACACTAACTCCTGGCAGCCCAGGGAGGTATACTGCATCGGCCCCACCGGCAGATGAGGGACATGAAGCTCAGAGAAGTTCCATGATTTCCTCGTTCCGCACTGTGGCAGCCTGGCCACGAAAGAACCAGGATTCCCGACTTCAAGATTCTTTCCACCACACACTTTCGTCCCTAAGGAGTGGGGGCGGGGGGGGTGGTGGGGAGATAAAATAACAACCGCGGAAAAGGAACCACTTACATGTGTCTAGCGCTTCCTAGAGGCTACCCAGGATATGGGCCCACAACCCGGCCCGGAGTGCAGAGATTTGAAGTCCAGGTTCTATCCCGGGCTCCGAGTTCTACTGCGTGACTTTATGCGAGCGTCCGCCGCCTTCTGGGCTTGTTTTCCCGGAAGCAACACGGCGCAGATGGAGTGTGTGTGTGTGTGTGTGTGTGTGTGCGCGCGCGCGCGCCTGTGTGTTGAGCGTGCTGTGTTAAGCGTGTGCGTGTTGTCCGGGGGCGGGAGGGGGAGTATACTAACACCGGGCTTCCCCAAGTTTCGGATTGCCTACATGCTTGTTCCCATCTGGACCCTGTTACCCACTAATTGCTCTCACTATAAAAACTGCCCCTCCAAGGCAAAGCTATGAACCCCCGCGTCCCCGGAGGATGAAGAGAGGTGCAACGGAGACTCAGCTGAGCGTTCAGTTTCGGGCAATACAAATTTCTCGGCTTCTATGAGCAGCCAGACGACCCCGCGGACCATCGCTCCTGAACTAGACCAAGACAAAGTTCCGAGCGTTCTCAACTTGGGGGGCCGACTCTCGCGAGACCGCCCCCAAACTTAAGCGCCCTTAGGCTCGCCCCCAACTGGGACTTCACAGAGCCACCTTAAGGGCGGTGCTCCCGCCCCCGGAAGTGCGCGGGGGGGGCCACAGACTTGGATTCTCAGCCTCCTGCCCCGCGCGTTGGCAGACGCCGGCGGATGACTTCGAGCCCCACAAGTGGAGAAACCCCAACCACCCCTCGCCCGCACCCTTGGCCCCCAACAACTGGCCGGGTTCCCTGGCCTCCCGCGTCCCCTTATCCCCTGCATCTCTGCATCCCTGTCCGGAGCCGTGAACTTGAGCGCCCCCCCCCCCACCCCAGAGACGTTGCGAGCGTCCGCCCGCTCGCGGCAGCCACCGTCACTAGACAGTCAAACCCCAAGACGTCAGCCCACAATGCACCGGGCGGGCCAGCAAAAACGGCCCGGGGAGGAGACCAGGGAAGAGAGGGCCGAGAGGCGTGCGGCAGGGGGAGGGGAGGAGAAAGAAGGGACCGACTGTAGGAGGGCAACGGAGCATTACCTCATCCCGTGAGCCTCCGCGGGCCTAGAGAAGAATCTTCTAGGGTGGAGTCTCCATGGCGACGGGCGGGCCCGCCCCCCTGAGAGCGACGCGAGCCAATGGGAAAGCCTTGGGGTGACATCATGGGCTATTTTTAGGGGTTGACTGGTAGCAGATAAGTGTTGAGCTCGGGCTGGATAAGGGCTCAGAGTTGCACTGAGTGTGGCTGAAGCAGCAAGGCGGGAGTGGAGGTGCGCGGTCTCAGGCAGACAGACAGACACAGCCAGACAGCCAGGACTGCAGTAGAGTCCGAGCTGCAAATCTTTTCTTTTCCATCTTCTCTCCAACTGCCCAGAGCTAGCGCCTGTGGCTCCGGGGCTGGTGTTTCGAGGAGTGCGGGGAGAGCCTGGTCTCCAGCCGCCCCCGGGAGAAGAACCCCGCTGCCCAAGCGCTGCTGACAGCGGCGGAGAGCAGCGGTACCCACGCGCCCGCCGGGGGACGTCGGCGAGCGGCTGCAGCGGCAAAGAACTTTCCCGGCTGGGAGGACCCGGGCCAAGTGGCCCAGAGTCCCGGAGCGAACTTTTGCAAGCCTTTCCTGCGCCTTAGGCTGCTCGACGGCGGTAAAGACCAAAAGGCGTTGGAGAGACGCGCGAGAGAAGGACGTGCGCTCAGCTTCGCTCGCACTGGTTGCTGAACTTGGGCGAGCGCAAGCCGCGGCTGCCGGGCGCCCCCTCCCCCTCGCAGCGGAGGAGGGGACAAGTCGTCGGAGTCCGGGCGGCCGAGACCCGCCGCCGGCTGGCCACTGCGGGGTCCGCACTGATCCGCGCCTCTGGGAGAACCGCCGCTCCTGGAAGTGAGTTCGCCCGCGGGCTCCGAGGAACCGCTGCGACCGAAGATCGCTCAGTGAGTGACCGCGACTTTTCAAAGCCGGGCAGCGCGCGCGAGCCGACAAGTAAGAGTGCGGGAGGCATCTTAATTAACCCTGCGCTCCCAGGAGCGAGTTGGTGAGTAGGGCGCAGCGGGGACGACTGCCAGCAGGCGCGCACGCTCTTAGAGAAACTTTCCCCGCCAAAGGCCCGGGGGGACGCGGGTGTACCCCGCTTGCCAGAGCGCTGTTGCGGCCCCGAAACTTCTGCGCGCAGCCCAAACTAACCTCACGTGAAGTGACGGACTGTTCTATGACTGCAAAGATGGAAACGACCTTCTATGACGATGCCCTCAACGCCTCGTTCCTCCAGTCCGAGAGCGGAGCTTATGGCTACAGTAACCCCAAGATCCTGAAACAGAGTATGACCCTGAACCTGGCCGACCCAGTGGGGAGCCTGAAGCCGCACCTTCGCGCCAAGAACTCGGACCTCCTCACCTCGCCCGACGTGGGGCTGCTCAAGCTGGCGTCTCCCGAGCTGGAGCGCCTCATCATCCAGTCCAGCAATGGGCACATTACCACCACGCCGACCCCCACCCAGTTCTTGTGCCCCAAGAACGTGACAGACGAGCAGGAGGGCTTCGCCGAGGGTTTCGTGCGCGCCCTGGCCGAGCTGCACAGCCAGAACACACATCCCAGCGTCACGTCGGCGGCGCAGCCGGTCAGCGGGGCGGGCATGGTGGCTCCCGCGGTGGCCTCGGTGGCGGGGGGCAGTGGCAGCGGCGGCTTCAGCGCCAGCCTGCACAGCGAGCCGCCGGTCTACGCCAACCTCAGCAACTTCAACCCCGGAGCGCTGAGCAGCGGCGGCGGGGCGCCCTCCTACGGCGCGGCCGGCCTGGCCTTTCCCGCGCAACCCCAGCAGCAGCAGCAGCCGCCGCAGCCGCCCCACCACTTGCCCCAGCAGATGCCGGTGCAGCACCCGCGACTGCAGGCCCTGAAGGAGGAGCCTCAGACAGTGCCCGAGATGCCCGGCGAGACGCCGCCCCTGTCCCCCATCGACATGGAGTCCCAGGAGCGGATCAAGGCAGAGAGGAAGCGCATGAGGAACCGCATCGCTGCCTCCAAGTGCCGAAAAAGGAAGCTGGAGAGAATCGCCCGGCTGGAGGAAAAAGTGAAAACCTTGAAAGCTCAGAACTCGGAGCTGGCGTCCACGGCCAACATGCTCAGGGAACAGGTGGCACAGCTTAAACAGAAAGTCATGAACCACGTTAACAGTGGGTGCCAACTCATGCTAACGCAGCAGTTGCAAACGTTTTGAAGAGAGACTGTCGGGGACTGAGGGGCAACGGAGAAAAAAATAACAGAGACAGACTTGAGAACTTGACAAGTTGCAGCGGAGAGGAAAAAGAAGTGTCCGAGAACTAAAGCCAAGGGTATCCAAGTTGGACTGGGTTGCGTCCTGACGGCGCCCCCAGTGTGCACGAGTGGGAAGGACTTGGCGCGCCCTCCCTTGGCGTGGAGCCAGGGAGCGGCCGTCTGCGGGCTGCCCGGCTTTGCGGATGGGCTGTCCCCGCGCGAACGGAACGTTAGACTTTTCGTTAACATTGACCAAGAACTGCATGGACCTAACATTCGATCTCATTCAGTATTAAAGGGGGGAGGGGGAGGGGGTTACAAACTGCAATAGAGACTGTAGATTGCTTCTGTAGTACTCCTTAAGAACACAAAGCGTGGGGGGGAGGGTTGGGGAGGGGCGGCTGGAGGGAGGTTTGTGAGAGCGAGGCTGAGCCTGCAGATGAACTCTTTCTGGCCTGCCTTCGTTAACTGTGTATGTACATATATATTTTTTTTAATTTGATGAAAGCTGATTACTGTCAATAAACAGCTTCATGCCTTTGTAAGTTATTTCTTGTTTGTTTGTTTGGGTGTCCTGCCCAGTGTTGTTTGTAAATAAGAGATTTGGAGCACTCTGAGTTTACCATTTGTAATAAAGTATATAATTTTTTTATGTTTTGTTTCTGAAAATTCCAGAAAGGATATTTAAGAAAATGCAATAAACTATTGAAAAGTACTCCCCTAACCTCTTTTCTGCATCATCTATAGATACTAGCTATCTAAGTGGAGTTGAAAGTTAAGAATGTCAATTAAAATCTCTCTCAGTGCTTCTTACTATCAAGCAGTAAAAACTGTTCTCTATTAGACTTTAGAAATAAATGTACCTGATGCTATGGTCAGGTTATATACTCTTCCCCCAGCTGTCTATATGGAATTGCTTACCAAAGGATGGTTCGATGTTTCAGGAGGCTGGAAGAACGGGTTGGGGGGTTGCAGTGAAGAGGGACGGCCCACTGGGAACTCAAACATTTCAAAGTTTGAGATTGTATCAAGTGGCATGTGCTGTGACCATTTATAATGTTAGTAGAAATTTAACAATAGATGCTTATTCTCAAAGCCAGAATAGGTGGCAGATTTTACAAAAAATGTATCCTTCCAATTTGGAATCTTCTCTTTGACAATTCCTAGATAAAAAAGATGGCCTTTGCTTATGAATATTTATAACAGCATTCTTGTCACAATAAATGTATTCAAATACCAATAACGATCTTGAATTGCTTCCCTTTACTACTTTTTTCTTCCCAAGTTACATACTGAAGCATTTCTTTTCAGTTGCTGAGGTTAACATTGCTGCAATCTGAAGTGTGACTCGTAAGTTAAGAAGCAAAATATTTAGGGAAAGTCAAACTAGAAGTGGTGATCTGGATGAAACAGTTTCCCAATTTCATTAATCCCCCTGCCCTTTCTCCATCTCTGTCTCTCTCTCTACTACCACCCCTCACCCCCAAATAAACACCTATGTCTAAGGAAACTAGCAGTTTAGCATTTTAGATCTGTCTATAGTTTATTTCTTAATTTGTTTCTAAAATAACCTTGTTTAAATAATTAGAGAATCAGTCTCAAAAGACAGTAATCCAATACTATGGTAAAGATTCGCAAGAGAAAACATGAACACCAACACAATGATTACATGTGTAAATCAAACCCCAGCTCTGGGAAACGAGAAACTTAAATTCTGTCTACAGATATAACTTAGGAGATCAACGAGGCAGTGCTCAACAAGGGAGCAATTTTTTGCTTGGTTGCTTTTCATCCCAAGAGCCAGTGTGATTATCAGGCAGCAAAAGCAATGTGATATCCAGGAATATTTCACAAACCACTAATTGAGGCAGGGCTGTTTGCTCATTAGCAGTGTTCTGGTATCTAACAGGTCTGGGAGTGCTAATATCCTGCCTGTGGCTGTAAATCCAAATACACAAAGAGTTTCTCCTTAGGAGTATATCTAGGAGTGGAAGAGATTGGACAGGCTTGCTAGCTTCAAATGTGCTCTCCCTTGTAATAACACTTCTTGAACAAAGGGTTACTGGGAGCAGAGCCTAGTTTGCCAAACTGAATTTGCCGATGTCAGCAACCAGGAAGGTGAGATGATTTTGACCATATGTAGAAATAGCAGAGGGACAATAAAGCACTTTGGGGTGGGGCTCTGTGGAAGCTAAACAAGAGCCAACTAGAAAAAATAAGCAGGCTGGGAATTAATTACCTGCAAAGGTAGACTAAGCCCAGACAACAGTACAGCACAGAAAAGCCACACCACTCCCCAGTTTGCTTTAGATTCCAGTATTTAAAAAAAAAAAAAAAGTCTGAAACTCAGGCCTATCCCCATGCTTGATTGTTTCAATTAACATTCTAAATGTGTATTTTTGAAATTCTAACCATCAAAAGGGGTGGAAAAAATAATTGTGATAGAGGAAATTAACCCATAATCTCTGGTAAATTTTGGAGGCAAAAGATTAACTGTAAACACTCAATGGTTAAGTTTATTATGAGGCTTCAATGAGTTAATCTTTAGGTAACACTAATAGTTTGAGCAGATGAAGCTACTGACACATAGTAATCCTCTTAATTTATTTTATACATATATATGTTATATAAATAAATAAATGATTCAATCAAGGACATTTAACCCTCTGTGTCTATTGGAACCGAGGGTTCATGAACTCAATGAAAATGCCTACAAAGTTGTGTGTGTATGCGTCTGCACACACTTCTGAGGAGAGAGATTATTAGCTTTTATCTGAACCTCCCAGACAGAGTTCCACAACTCAAAAAAAAAGGGGTTAATAAACCATGAACTGACCAGCTACATGCCCACTATCAGAAATACATCTTTGTATGAATCTAAATCCCATGCTCTTTTACCCTTTCATGTTTCTGCTTGCACGTCTTTCCCTGGAATACCTTTCCTTATAGTTCAACTGATAAATCTTACCCATTCTTCAAGGCTTGGCATAAGCGGGACCTTCTCTGTAAAGCTTCTCATGGTAACTCCATCTTCAAAGGGAATGAACAGTTCCCTAGTGAGCATGGTAACTTCAAAAATCCTGAAAGCACTTATCAAAATGTATCATGAATCTCTGTGTCTCCTGGCCAGCACCTTATCCTCTTCATCAATGGACTCCCAAACTTTTAATGCAATGGCTGGGATATAGTAGATGTTCATAAAATAAATGTTTGATGGCTGCATCAACTAGTGAACTCAAATACTCCTCCAACATAATTCCAAGTCTTAGTTTCTTCTAGTAAATATACTTCATTCATTTCCAGGTGCATAACTCCAGGTGGATCAACCCCCACCTCCTCAAAGTCAAACCTGGCCAACCCCCAAGTTCTAAAGCCTAGTTCTTAGTGAGTGTTCTTAAAAGAATTAAGCTGTTAGCACATTCATACATCCAGCCACACAGAGTGTCCCTTCTACCTCTAATGCAAGTGGGCATCTTCTTCTATAAAATGGGTCTGCCTGAAACATTAGTTTTGAAGGTGGAAATGGAGCAGGATACTATGTGTGTCCTTAGGCAGACACAAAAACAGTTCCAGATGTGTCTTCATTAAAAACAACCAACTTTATTGGTAGTGACAAAGGGGACTTTCTGTAAAATTAGACATATTTCAGGAGTCCAGAAGTTAGTACCAATGTTTGCTTGCTAAGACAAGAATCATACTAATTCATCTATTCTCCCTTGTCATTTCATTACTAGAGAAGTGCACTGTTGAACCAAGGAAAGAGCACCATGCCTTCTAGTTTGATTGCCCCTTGCCTCCTCCACCCACTTCTGTGGTGGCCAAGTAGGATCTCATAGAAGAAGAGAAGAGGGTTAGAAGCTGGAATGGCCACAGAGGGTAAAACTATTCCTTCCTAACTCTGGAACCTGATTTGAGTTGTTTGCTTTTGGACATTACAAAGCTAAGCATTCCTCTGGTCCTGGGTCTCTTTGAGGCCCTGTGTTTGGCTGTGGGGATTCAGTGATGAGTAAGGAACTCACATTCTGGTAGAGTGGAATGTGGAGGTGACGTAGAAACTATTCTATAGCATAAAGATATACGCTATAAGAGAAATATGCCAGATGCAAGCAAAAGGAGGCATTATTAGAAAATGCTTTATGGGAGAGGTGGCATTTGAGTTGATCCAGTGGACCTTCCCAGGCAGAAAAGATTGGGAAGAAACTGGTGTGCAAAGGCATAGAAGTATGAGAAAACATCTTGTGTTTAGGGACCTGAAAGCTGCTTAGAGAAGCTTGAAAGAAATGTGTGAGAAGAAAACTGAAGGGAGAAGAGGCAAGGAAGTTGAAGGCTTGGGTTGAGAATTAACATTCATTCCATGTTATTCTATAGGTGATGCAGAAAAGTAGGTGAATTTGAAACGGAGTGGGATATGATACCCTCAACTTGAGGAAGATTCATGCTGGCAACAGTTTGGAGGACGGATTGGTGAAGAAGAGGCTAGGTAAGGGGTGAAATACCAAAGATAGATTTTTTTTTTTTTTTTTTTTGAGATGGAGTTTCGCTCTTGTTACCCAGGCTGGAGTGCAATGGCGCAATCTCGGCTCACCGCAACCTCCGCCCCCTGGGTTCAGGCAATTCTCCTGCCTTAGCCTCCTGAGTAGCTGGGATTACAGGCACGCGCCACCGTGCCCAGCTAATTTTTTGTAATTTTTAGTAGAGACGGGGTTTCACCAAGTTGACCAGGATGGTATCGATCTGTTGACCTCGTGATCCACCCACCTCGGCCTCCCAAAGTGCTGGGATTACAGGCTTGAGCCACCGCGCCCGGCCCCAAAGATAGATTTTTAGTTTTATTTAGAATGCCTGTGGTATTTAAAGTAGTCCTAGAGTTGGGAAAGAAATGAGAAGAAGATGCCTTGGTCCAGGTTACATCATGCCACCTTTCTTCTTATGCAATTTTCTGACACATTAGGCCCAAAGAAGGACACCAGGAGTTTTACTTTCTTCTTATACTGCTTGTTCCACACTTACATTTTCCTCTCTATTGGGTCCATTTGATACCTGAAAGAAAATCATCTTACAAAATGGTCTAGAGCCCACCTGCTCAGAGTCAGGAAACTCAAATAAACAGATGTGAATGAGACAGACCAGCAACCCTGTAGGCCACACCTTCCCGGGTGACAGCACAGAGTTGGTCCTTCCTGCTACAAGACCGAACCTGACTTTAATCACCCAGAATTGATTAAGCTCAGTGAGGCTAGTTGACCCAAACTGTATAAACTCTTTGGTGTATAAACAACTTCTGTGGGGGAACTGATAATAACACTTTACATTCCCATAGCCCTCATTTTCTACCACAAGTAATATTGAAATCCTATTCTGTGCCAGGAACTAGGAACACAGAAGAGTGAAAGCAGGATGCCTTCCTTCATGGAGTTTATCATCCAGCTAAGAGAAACAGTAAATAAAGAAATCCACCAGGCACGGTGGCTCACACCTGTAATCCCAGCACTTTGGGAGGCAAAGGTGGTCGTATTACTTAAGGTCAGGAGTTTGAAACCAGCCTGGCCAACATGGTGAAACCCCATCTCTACTAAAAATACAAAAATTAGCCGGACGAGATGGTGCACACCTGTAATCCTAGGTACTCAGAAGGCTGAGGCAGGAGAATCGCTTGAACTTGAGAGGTGGAGTTTGCAGTGAATTGAGATGGCACCTCTGCATTCCAGCCTGGGCAGCAGAAAGAGATTCCATCTCAAAAAAAAAAAAAAGAAAAGAAAAGAAACACACACAAAAAATATATGATTAAAGTGCAATGAAGAAAAATAACTGGGCATGAATAAAGAGAACATCTTAATTAGGTTGGCAACAAAGTATTTCTGGAGAACTACTTGAGCTGAGAATTCTTAGACTAAGAGTTCTCCAGGTGGAGAGCAGATGAATGGGGGTGGGGCATCTCAGGTGCAGAATCAGCATGAGAGAGAGCCTGGGAAAGTCTCTGGTGCACCCTAGCAGTTATGAGAAGGTCTGAGTCTCTGGAGTACACTGAGCAAAAGAAAGAGTGATGAACAATGAGATTTGTACTCATCCGTCCATACTCTTGTAATTTCCAAAGCTCTTTTGCCTCTTCGACCTCATGTTATTTTCACCACTATTCTGAGGATGCTCGTTGATAGTAGTTGTGCATGGGAGCAGAAGCTCCACCTCTCAGTGAGTTCTAAGTGCTTTTGTTGAAGCCATGCCTCCAGTAACTGGTGGGGCACA